GATCGGTCAAATCCGGCAGTAGGTGTTCGATTGATACATGGGCCCGCCGAACTCCAGCAGTCCTGGTGGCTCCCACCCGCATCGTACCGTGCCACATTCCGACATTCCGAGGAAGAGACGGCTACTATTGGTGGCTGGATATCTCTGAAGAAGAAATATATCTATATATTTATATACGGAGAAATATATCTATATTCGAGCGAAGCAAGCAGGATCGAGTTTTTTGACAAGGGAGTTTTTCACTCAACCGCCTAGCACAGCCTGTTCGATGATTTCAGCCTAACTTCAATAGCTCCGTCATTTCCTCGAGAGATTTTCAAATATCTCTCCTCCGTCTAGGGCCAAAACTCCCCACGCGGACCGCGGCCGAGAGCAAGCTCGACCATCCAATCAGACTACATCCTCCCTGCTGACCGCAACCTCGACGGGGTCGGAAACAACCTGAAGGCTCCCTAACCATAGCTCCGCTTATCTCTGATTCAGCTCACGACCATGTTAGATGCTCGTACGTATAACACCTCGAGCTTTCGCCAGCTGTTGGAAAGAGAACATTACCGTCTACATAAAGCCTCTTCCAGCTCACCGCGATGCGATGTCAGATCGAATCGGATCGATAAAACACTCATTACTAAGCCGAATCTTCAAGATGTCCTACCTGATTTCGAGAGATTCCCTAGCTTCGAGGGGAAGCGACTGCTGGAGCTCCTGATTTCAGGATGCTTGGGCTCCCGTTGAGGCGATATTTTCGGGTCAAATTGGAACTCCGGGAATCATATCACCGTGAGGAAGAGATCGAGGTCAATCTGAGACTCAGTAAAGAGGCTCTATTCTCCACCCATGTTGACCACAGATGGTGATGACGGGAAAAATTTAGGGCAACTTAGGACAGTCTCGCCTAAAAAGCTCCGATAGGGAACTGCCGTATGTCTGGAGGCTGCAGCCGTGCAAATCGACAGATCGACTCGTGGCAGGCCTGAGAAACTCTCTCTTCCCACTTGTGACAATTTAGGAGAACTTGCCGAAAATGTTTCTTAGGAAAAGGAACTGCACCAATGTTCGAGCGGCCCCTGATCCTCCCCGCGGAATATTGTACCGTTTCTTCTGCTCGACTGGTCGATAGCGACATGTTCACCGGCCGGATTTCAGGCGCGGGTTCAGACAACGATTGATGTCCAAGACTCACGATCAGAAATATTTAATCTAGGCTCCAGAGAGCGTTCACCGAATACTACGGTCCCTTTTCACCCATTCTAGCTCGATGTGCGCGGTTTCCTCTGGACTATTTTTTTCAAAGGAGACGGGACCTGCTGCTCTAGATGCGCAAATCGAGAATCGCGCTTTCGGAGGGTTGCTGCCTGACGCGAATTTTTCTCCCGGTTCGTTTCGCGAACGCCCTATATAGAGCGCAGATCGACTACCCCTTGGACGAGGGAGTCTGAATTCGCTGTCGCATCCCATCCGCTGGAACTGCAGATTCTGAACAGCGAGCCTCCAGCGAACACATCGATAGGACACCGATATGGTTGTATTCGTCAGCGTCAGTGTACCACCTCGAGGTCAGGTCCTCGGAGGATTCGTCGAATGTTAGCGTAAGTACATACACTCTCAGGTAAGGTCTCTTCTTAGCTGAATGCGCATGACTTGCTCATTGCTATGAGGGGCGCTCTTCCCGCATTATTTACAGGAGCAAACGAGGAGTCTCCCCGAGGAGGTCCTCTGAGTAGCCATCGAGATTCGGTAGGGTACGCGTATTGGTAGAACAAGGTCGACGTTACGACCCTCAGTCCAGACTCAGCGGCGTCACTGAGCTCCCAACAAAAGCTGTGGGACTTGTCGCGTTGTTGTACGCTCGCCTAGGCATCGAAGGACGGGATGCTACCATCTTCAGGAGAGCCAGGGGCTCCGGGCACAGCTCGACCAGAGCAGAGCGGCTCTTGATTTCGATTAGATTCCGTTCCGGGATCATCCAATCGGCCGTCGTTTGATTCCTCTCCCGAACAGTACCCAAAACAACCTCGACGTGTTGCCAGTAACTCGGCGAACTTTCTCCGGCTCGACCAATCCTCTCACTCTTGTCCTAGTCATGCGATATGGCATGTCGGAAGGTAATAAGTCAAATATCGAATCAAAGCAACTCATTGCTTATGGAGCGTCACACAGGAAGGCGTGGAAGTCCGTAGCGGAGACCGGTTCGGTGGTCGATGCCACTGCGGACTTGTCTTGGCCGAGGGTCGATAGGGCGAAATACTTGATTCGCTCGTCAAGAGTAGGTTAGCATAGGATTTTTTCTCGATGCGCCTGCTCCGCACATGGAAAACGAATGAAAGATGAATCGTGTGACCCTTCTCGGGACATGGCGAAACGACACGCCCAGCTCTAATCTGATAGCGACGTAAGATGCGGACAGATTGTGAAAAAAAACTCAGCGTTCAGAGCTACGCTGTTCGGAGCTACTTCGAAGATTGCTGTGATCTCGTCGATGCTCGAGGCGTCAACAGCGCGCGAACTGATGGCCCGCCAGGTGAGTTTCGAAGCTCATCATTGCTTGCAGCAAATGAGGCTTGCTGTCCAAATAGCCCTCCATTGCTCTCCGGGTGTGTTGAAGCAGCGAAGCTGCTGATACCTGCCACTCTCTGAAAGCGAAACAATATTTTCTTCCGTAGCTGAGCATCTGAACATAAATGCACATATTCAATGGATCCCCATGGCCCTGTTGCTGTTTTCTATTTTGGAGCGTTTCGTTAAATATTTCTGTCGGGATGGAAGCTTCGGAATCGAAGAGCAGGAGTAGAGGATGTGATGCTGACGTCCCCCCTCAAACCCCCTGAATGGGGTCGTCGGTGTCGAGCCCTGCGAGATAATGACTTGTGATGAGATGAAGATCCACCAATCACACGCGCTACGTCATCTTTTGCGAATCTTGTTTTCCGGGAAACCAGGCTGCTCATTCATGACAGCTCGGATATCTCTCCGACACAAAAGCCGAGAACCCACGCACTCTCGGCTATTCTACGAAGGGAGCCTCCAACTGCAGGTCATTCCTTGAGCCTCCGATACCACGGGGCCCCCGAAGCAGGTTGATAGCGAGCTTATTATCCCAAACCCTTCGAGATATACCCTTATCGGATCAGGAGTTTCCGAGCCAGCATTGAGAATCATTGAGGATATTTACTCCGTCTTGAAAATCATCCGTATATTCGGGTGAACTATCTGGTGGGAGGAGCTGTTCGGGCTGATTCTGATGAAGCCTGAACCGCCGCGCCGTTGTCACAACTACTGGTAGTGCTCGAAGGCAGGAAGTCTCAGTGTATGTAGTTCGGCAGGCAGAGGTCACCAGACTAGATTTTAGGAAGCCAGACGACGACGTCGTTTTTATTTGCTAGCTCGCGGTTCGGCTAGCAAGAAGGAACCAGAGGAAAAATGGATGACATTTTTTAATTCCACACTCACACATGGATGGAGGAGACCGCTCGTTCGTTGCTGCTGCTGGCGGTGCTGGTGGTGGCTGCCGACGCACGGTGGTGCTTGCCAAGCGGGAGATATATTAGCGTAGAGGGCGAGAAACGAGAGAGATTCGCTGGCACATATATACTACATATATATATACGTCTATATATATATCTATATATATGTATGTACGGCCGGGTACATACATACATAGAAAGAGGAGCACGTATATATATGTATAAGCCCAATCGAGTCTGAGGTAAACAATCCCGCCCACTGTAGGCTCGCTTGCTCGCTGGCTGCTCCGAGGGCCCGCCTATTGTAGAGGGCTCTGATGTCAATGTGCGCATGCGCCCCACGATCATCAACGAACCACCGAGCTAGCCGCCTGCTGGCAGCCACCAACCAACCCAACGGAGGAAGAAAGGAAGGAAGGCAGGCAGCCAGCCAGCTAGCCAGGCTTGACTGCGAAGAGCCCTTCGCGTTACGATCATAGTGTACAGTAAGCAACTCTTAACTAATATCCGTAACGTGCCGGCGGCGGGCAGCCATCACATGGGAACGGAGTATAGCACTATCCTCTGGGTTAAACATTGCTACTACCGCTGCTGTCTCTGCTACTGTCACCAATTGTTGTGTTGTTCATCATCTCTTTTCTCGTGTGGAAGTGCTCTCATCGGACAACAACACGAGCAGCAGAAGCATCAACGATCACTTCTAGCTCCGCTAGCGCGACGACGACCGCGGCGACCATCGGCGCTTCTCCCACATCTGCTGAGGCAAGAAGAAAGGAAACTACGACAGGAACGTATTCGCCATTGTGGAGAAGATTCTCTAACGCACACAATTGAGAATATCGGTCTGAGGGCGGCGGCAACAACAACAACGTGCGACAAACCGAAAGAGATCAACTTTCGGCTATCAATTCCAACAGTGGGTCCAAACCATAGCTAGTAAGTGAAAGAGTGAGCAGAACCATCCCAAACTTGCGGCCATCGTCCCGAATGTCGTCAACTTGAGCCGAGAGTGGTACGTGGTACCTCCATATACACTCCGAACACGCGCTTCGAGTTGTTGTTTCTCATTTTGCGTGGACTATACTTCTCAATTTAGACGATCGTCGAGGACAGCGTCGGAAGAACATCGGCAACGTGGGCTGCGCGAAAGACGACAGTGTGGAAGGAACTTCGAGACCAGTCGATCCGTGACCCGTCGTCTACTGCCGGATATCTCTATACATCAGTCGCTATCGCAGCTATGGATTCGTGAATGAGTGGTACTCTTGGTGAACACTGGGCACCGTGAAGATTGTTTTGTGAACATCAGCTTCGTCATCCACCGACAGCAACTTGTTCAGCGGGATTGCGCTACCGAGTGGCAATAGTCCAATCATTGGTTCCATCTAGTGCTCCGATCGGAAGCAGAATCGACTCGAACCGACCTTCCGAGAGTCGCTCTCGCGTCGGAGCCGGAAGGTTCTTCGGACAAAAGTGTTTCGGCCGCCTGCCGGATTCGTAGCGAGTGTTCTTTATCTTTCAATTTCGTAATGCGCCATGAGTAGCTACCAGTTCGTGAATATGTACCCCAACCCCAGCGGGGCGAGGGAGCAGGCTACCGCGGGCCGAGAACCTACCGGTCCTGAAGGCTACTACCAGTTTTACCAAGCTGGTAATGGTGGTGGCCAGGCGCAATACTATCGAGGACAAGAACGGACAGACCCCGATGATGTGACGACGGATACAGAGGATAAAAAATATATCAGTGACAAGTTCTGTGACAAATTCAGCGACAATAAGTTCCAGGTAAGAGGATTGTCTTCGCGCATAATCTATTTCGGTCTAGACTCTAGACTCTGTCGATTGCTTTAGACTGTAGACTCGGGAAGTTTCGCGAGAACCGACTGAGTGGAGGTAACTGTCGCGATGTGAAGGATATCGTCGCTAGTACTCTCATGGATATTATCCTCATCTATTTATTTCTCATATATGCTCTTCCGAAGACATGCATCGCCCAATTTAAGCTAATTCGGAGAAACGCTTCAGGGAATGCTTATTTATTCAAGCGATTTTAGCGAGCCATCCTCCGAGAGATGCGACTCGTATTTCCTGTCAGACCTTCATGCATGTGTCTGAAAGTCTCCGATGCTCATGATTTTCGTCGCATACAGTAGAAGATGAGGTGTTCCGGGGATCGGGGGAAGTAATGCTCGGGCGTAGGCTGTGCTTTCTCTTGGAAGCCTCGTGTACATTGTATACACTGTTTGGTCTGCCTCCGTCCAAGGCGACTGAACTTTCCGCTGAGCTCGGTGTTGAAACACGCTGCCATCGCTCACCGGCGAACGTGGCGCCCTCCTTGACATTGAGATTAAGATTTGAGCAGACTTTCTTCTGTTTTTCTCTCGCTGTCCCTCTTTTCGTCTATTCCCGTCTCATGTCGAGGCAGCATGAAGAAGCTCCCATGATTGTGAGCGTCTTCGGAGCTCCAGCACTGAAGCAATGGGGAGCTGACTACTGGGCTCCAATTCCAGACGAGAATAAGTATTTCCGTTTCTGTTTAGCTGTCGCACTCGTGAGCCCTCCGAGAAGGCTACAGACGAAGGGGAAATTCCCTGCTCGCGGGTGCGAGTGACCCCTCGAGAATGATGATCACGTACCGCTTCGGCCTGATCTTGCGAATTTGCGTTAGACGGAGTACTATGTGATCGATGGTTCGGAGTTGCCTCCAGTCGCTCTTTCGCTGCTGTTTATGTAGTCGAGCGTGAATTCTCTTTTTTGTTGTTAGAGATTCACTTGGCCGAGGATGAGCAGCGTATCGAGACGATTATCGCCATCAGGCTGTGATATTATTGCTCCCGTCGGTGATGATGACGATCAGGATCGTTACGATGATGGTTCTTGCGGTGGAGATTCGGAATTCATTAATCATGTCCTCACCTGCTGCTTCTGCTGCTAGTAGCGCGCCCTCAACATTGACTTCATTCCGCTAATGGTTCACACCTATCAGATTCGGTGTCATCGAGCTAAGAAGCGCGAAATCTGAGCTCAAACCTTAGTGTTCCGCCGAGGTGTTAAAATACTCATGAGGCCGAGCGCGGATCTTCTGCTCGGATGTATTCGACATAGGTACCTGGGGGAAAGATCTCATTGAGTTGAGAAAGCATCGCATAGTGATCTGAGCGAGTGGGTGAAGCCGATCGCTAGGTTGACTGTTGTATCAGAATATTTCCTACCAGACCGGTCGAATCAATTGGATTCGGAAAGTCCACCGGACGTCACTCGATATCGTTGCCGAGGACTCCACCGAGCGACTAAGTGAGTTATGAGATCCTCTCAATATTATTCGATGTCTCACAACCCTGTGGCCGAGCGAGTGCATGGCGATGTTGGTACAAGTAGTAGTGGTCAGGTTGATGCCGAAGGTGCGCGTGTCCAAAGCGAGCGTGCAATTCTAATGATTCATTATGCAGCGGCTGCTGCCGCCGCCATGGCCACCATACGGTCACACAGTCCGCGAAACGGCGCCCAACGTGACGAGTCCACCGAGTAATATTCATATTGAAGGGATACCGTACATGGACATCGGTTGCCGAGATCAGTCCTAACGGCGTGCAAGCGGAAGGGCAAGCAGCCGAGCGGGGGTGAGCGACCGGGCAGGCAGACCGGCGATCGGATGTACCGACCGGGGGAAGCGTCGACTGCGGACCGATATGGGAGCGGGCAAGCAGACGATGTTTTAATTTGCAGGAGAAAATGAAGCCGATGTTAATCAAGTTTGAAGACTCGGTCCTTTCGACGCTGCTGGCGGAACAACTCGACACCCTTCCCTGCTGCTTGCCTGTTTCCTTCCTGTCTGTCTATCTGAGCGCCTGTTTAGGTGTGAGTTAAAGCGGACTCTCACACTAACACTCACTCACTCGGTCGCTAGCTTGAACGCCCGCCCGCCTGTTCCGTTGCCCGCCCGAGCTCCCACCGCTCGCTTACCGAGTGTGATAAGCGGATTTTGATGGGAAGCAGACGTTTTGCCGAAACCAGCCAACTACGGCCGGCGTCAGCTGTCGTCAGTCCCCTCTAAACGGCTCTCTGCCAGCTATATTTTCGCGTATGCATTTATGCAGATATCTTCCCGGTGGAGGACAAAATGTCTTCGGAGAACGACGTTCCACCGACTCGCTCACTCTGTGTCCACTGACTGTTCCCAACCTACTGCTACTATCGCTCGACTTGGTGTGCCTAGTACTCATGCAGCTCAGAGGAGACGTTTGTTGTGACATCAACTCGTCTTTCGGAGCTGTGCCAATAGAAGCGGTACCGTTGCTTTCTGTCCTTTCGAAGCCGCCCTCCAGACTTCACATTGTTCGATGAGATCCCATCGGCAGCGGTGGGCAGGCAGCCGACTGCCGCTTTGAATGGATGGATACAAGGTGGGTTAGTTAGGAAGGCCCTCAGCGATAACCTGCTACGGCGGACTGTAAGTCGTAAATCTTGCTGCGTGTGTTCTGTTGTCTTGATGATTAGATGTTTCTCATTGAAGATGCCTCCCCATGGAGAGCCATAAAATCTTCGCTGACACCTCACACCACACACACACCGCGGCCGCGACAGGCCATAAAATAAGTTCTCTCACCACTTAGCGCCAAATAGTTTTACGACCTTGTAGAATTCAATCAGAGGAAGCCGCTCCGAATATTCCTAATCCCGACCTTACAAATCCGAAATCCGAGACCATAGGAATCAGTGTGACTCTTGCTCACAAGCAGGGAATTATGACTTGTTGTCTGCTTATGTTGAGCATCAGACCCACAACTACTATTCGATGAACGCAGCAGAGAAAGCGTTTTGGCAAGCATTTGATTCGACGTTGCCCCGGTCGCTGAACTCGTTCTCAGAACAGGTTTTGAGAGCGGACCCAGAACGACCAGTTGGCCGGTTCATTATGCTCCGCTGCCGTAGAATGGCAGCGAAATTACAATACCGAGGAGCAAGTCCGCACAGGGAGAATGACATGCAAGAAGAAATTCTTTTCGATCGTTGGATCGATAGAAGGGCCGGGGGACGAGCGATTGCTGTCGTTGAGAGTCAGACTTTCTCGGTTAGCTAATATCATACGTGGCTGATGCGACGGCGATTGCGGCGGCGGCTTCTGCTCAAGCGACTTCTAAGTTATTATAAATCGAAAGGCTATTTTTGTCATCCCCATTAATCTTGCGTCGACTACCGGCAAAAATTCCAATGAGCTGCTTAAAACGCGATCCGAGCACCATTTCGCGGGTTCATGAGGCCGCGAGTCGATCGCGGAATCGCTCCGAGATGACCGGGGATCGTATCGCTTGTTTCGTAAGTCGCTCCGAGAGGTCAATGAGTCAATATTATCGACTTCTGAAATCCATTCAACTCCGATTCTTTGCGTCATTCGATTTTTCATCGCCTGGCGTTCTCCGAAGACGAGAGTCGCGACACTCCGTTCCCGTGTTGGCAGCAAAATATTCAGGAAGATGAGTTTCGCGAGAAGTTGAGTCCGCCCGAATTTCACTGAGTCTTTATCGTTTCTCCCATCAATCTTGATTCATTGAGGTTTCCTTCAACGGGAGTAGCATCCTTCTCAGTAGATTTTCTGCGAGATGATTTTCCTTTCGTGACTCCCAAGGTCGGTGACACCAAGAGCTTGAATAAGGCGACAAGCACTCCTCCGGCAATGTTTCTCGTGTAGAGCTCGACCCGGTGGCGGCACTTCATTATAGCGGCATATCGCGTTGCATTGCTCACATCCTAGCGGTAATTTAATTTTATTCCTCGCTCTAGGTCTATCCGAATCCTGGTCGCCCTCGTTGCCGGTCCTCCCTCAGAAGCCGAGGCGTCTGTCCTCTGGTTGCTAGGTGACTCTGTGACTCCCGGCAGTCGAGTGTGGAAATCGCTTGCGAGCTCTCTCTTACGCTCCTTCGCTCGTTGAATCCCCTGCTCTTTCGTGTCAGCAGGCAAACAGATAGAAAGACAGGCAGGCAGACAAACGGGCGCACGATGAGACGAGTCCAGCAAGCTGTGGGCCGCGAGCGTGTCTTCCACGATAATTTCGCGGCTTCTCTGATATCGTTCATCTGATTCAGCCGCGAGGACGTGCGGGTTCTATGTGTTTGCCGTCGAGTCCGTCCGTCGGAGAGTGCGTCTTTCATTCATCCATCCGCTCACCCAGTCAGTGGATTCGTCTGTCTCTTCGGGCAGACTGTAGGGCCGTTTGTTCGACAATCCGCCCGTTTGTATGTCTGCTTACTTTTCTGCCCAGTCATGAGAGCCATTTGAAGATTGCGATTGCTGAGTGAGCTGCAGCTCCTCGCAATCGGCAATGGCGGCGGGAGCCATCGAGGCATCCGTCGGCTGCCCGGCGAAGACAGCAGCGGCTTCGATCCTCCGCTTGACAACGACATTATTTTCGACATCCTCCCTTTTTCGTTGAGTCCGTCCGTGCGGCGCTCTGTCTCCCGACGGTGGTCGTCGTCGTCGCGCAGCCGCCATCGCCGCCGTTCTTCTTGCTTGTCTGTCGGCCTGCCACCGAAACTGCTAGGCACACGACAAGCAAACTCCTCGTTTACCCCCTCCTTCGCTGCTCCATGCTCGGCCCTGATGGCGGCGGGAGCTCCTTTCCCGTTCTCCTCTCTTTTCCTCCGTTCTTCTTCTTTCAATTAGATTAGCATAGGGCGTTCAGGGAGTGGAAAAAGCGACGCTAGAGAAACTCGCTCGTCTGGAGACTCTGGAGCAAGAAGGCTACATGGGGACAGGCTGGCGTGCCAGTCTGTCGGTTCGTCTCTCCC